GCCTCAGCCTCCTGAGTAGCTGCGACTACAGGCATGCGCCACCATGCCCGGCTAATTTTTTCTCTATATATTAGTTGGCCAATTAATTTCTTTCTATTTATAGTAGAGACGGGGTCTTGCTCTTGCTCAGGCTGGTTTCGAACTCCTGACCTCGAGCAATCCGCCAGCCTCGGCCTTCCAGAGCTAGGATTACAGGCCTGAGCCACCGCCCCCGGCCTTTCCCACTGTTTGCAAGAGAGAAATGCCCCGGTGAGAATGGAGTATCTGCGGGGCGGCGGGCCGTGCGGGGGACCGGGCTCCGCGCTCACGCCGGCCGCCGCCCCCAGGACGCGTTCCTTGTGACCCGGCGCCCCAAGGCCACCGTCTTCACCGACGCCAAGGAGTCGAGCTCTCTGTTGGAGCTGAAGCGCATCGTCGAGGGCGCCCTCAAGCGGCCGCCCGACGAGCAGCTCCCGGATGATGGCAAGACGCCGGGGCGAGTGTGGCCTCACCAGCCAAAGGGCACGGCCACAGGCCCCAGCCACAGTGGGGCTGGCCTTCAGGGCAGCTGTGTCCCTTGTTCCACAGATGATGACTTTGAAGCCCTGCCCATCGAGCCCTTCTCCAGCCCGCCAGAGCTGCCCGACGTGAAGCCCCAGGACTCAGGAAGCAGCGCCAATGAACAAGCCTGCAGTGAGGGCCCCTGGCCTGCCCCCAAAAGGCCCATTACCCCCCAAGAAAAGAGATTTGGGTGTCAAAAAAAAAAAAATTAAGTCTCCGAAAAACATGCAAAATTCAAAAGAGCGCATTCCGGAGTGGTTAGGACCATAATCACATTGGGAGCAACTATTAAATCCCAGCAATAACATAGTGGATATGGTTATATTAATGTTTTTAATTCCATTGGCTTTGCAGCTTCCCTATAGTTCAGATGTAAGTTTGTTTCCGTTTCATAATTGTATAAGAGCTTTAAGTTAAAGGAGTTTAAATGTGCACAAAGCTTGGCATAATTAACTTTATAATAAAATACTTTTTAATAAGTTTTTACTGTTAAGCAGGCAGATCCTCGAGGTCTTAGAGAAGGCTCACGTGCTGCTGCTGGGACCCCGACACCCCTTTGGCTCCCAGACCAGGTCTGGGCTGCCACCTGGCCTGGCTGCCTGGCACACCCTTTTCACCTGTGGCCAGTGCCACTCCCTGCGTCTGTGCCCTGCAGATGACACAGCAGGACTCCGGCACGCAGGAAACTGTTACTTTCACAACTTTCTTTCCAGCCTGTTCCTACATGGCCTACCAATGGTCATCTCCATCAGAAAAAACTGGAAGTTTCTTATCCCTTTTTAAAAAAATAAATCCTTCATTGGAGGAACTGAAAGTTTCATATTAAAGTACATTTTGATTGGCACTCCCACTGTTGTACAAAATAAGACCTGGACATTTTGCTTCTGTCTCTGATTTGCACAGATTTTGTTTAGAGTGTGCATTGAAGGAAGGGGAGTATCTCTGGAAACTGATATGGGAAGTGTGTGTCTATCTTGCTCCTCTCCAGGAGAGGTCACAGTGGAGATCCTGGCACGGGGGAGGGGGGACTGAGACCCTCAAGGCAGCAGAAACCACCTGCACACAGGGCCACCCACACCTGTGCACCGTTTTAACTCCATTGTGTTTTTTGGTGCCTAACCTTGAGCAACGGCAGAGTCACAACTCCTGAGACTGGGTCCTTCCAGGATTTGGCTTTGAGAGAGCTCTGGGGAAAGCTTCCTCCTAGAAATGAGCTACAATCTTCCACAGTTACCTACATTTTTTTTTTTTTTTGAGACAGAATCTTGCTTTGTTGTCCAGGCTAGAGTGAGTGCGTGGCGTCAGCCTAGCTCACAGCAACCTCTGACTCCTGGGCTCAAGCGATCCTTCTGCCTCAGCCTCCAGAGTAGCTAAGACTACAGGCATGCGCTACCATGCCCGGCTAATTTCTTCTATATATTTTCAGTTGGTCAATCAATTTCTTTGTATTTTTAGTAGAGATGGGATCTCACTCTTGGTCAGGCTGGTTTTGAACGCCTGCCCTTGAGTGTTCTGCCCGCCTCGGCCTCCCAAAATGCTCTGAGCTTAGTTTTGATCACAACAATCCCCTGAATGAAATCCTTCAAAAACTGATTCCAGTAAATCAGACAGGCTCACGCCTAACTCTGGAGCAACAAAACCACCTACTCTACCTAAACATGTGAAAACTATAAACTGAATGAACTAGTACAAATATGCCTTTCATGAGAACCTAGAATGCCAGGTTCAAGTTCAGAATATTCACCGCCCCCTCAGTTCCATGCTGGAACATGGAGACAGGGGAGAGCCAGCCCACAGCCCACCCATTTCTCTAACCCCTGCTTATTCTCATTATTTGGAGTGTTCTCGTTCATACAGGGGTGGAACATTCAAACTTGTCCACACCTCTCCCCAAGAGACCATATTCAGCCACCCCATGGCTACACATAGGCCCAGGAATGTGCATGCCTGCTATCTACACTCAAGACGTTGAGTGGTTAATAGGTGCTGGAAAGCCCTAGAAGCGGGTTGCAGACTGGCCAGAAAATTCTGGGACCTTGGCTAGAAGTGGTGGGGCAGAAGGCTCCCCATGTGGGATCCTCCCTCAACTCCTTGCACTCCTCTTGAGGGTAGTGGGAGGATGGAGGGTTCAAGAGGTGAGGGTTTTTGGAGAGGCCAGTTGGAAACGGATTAAGATTACAGGGAGTTCAAGGGCAGTAGTGGTCTTCAGATTTACTTGTGAACAAGTTGGGTCCTCTCCACCCTTCTTCCCGAGAAAACTATTTCTTCAGCATGCACTGAGCACGAACTAAAACAAAATATACAACAGCAAGCGAACAAGCAAGAAAATCCTGAAGTGATGTACAAAAGGAAAGTAAAAGTGACTCAAAATTAACTACACTAAGAATAAGAAAAAAGTGAATATTGGTAAAAGAAATGAAATCTAAAAATAAGTATTAGAAACCCCAAGGAGATATGATAAAAGACACTTAATGCATGCAAATGGATCAAAAGGTAAAACAAAATGAAAGAAAAAAAGTAAAAACGTGAAACTAGATGAAATAAAAGATTTAGTGGATAGAAAGATGAACCCACAGGCCTGGTTCTTTAGCCCTGCAAAGAGAATACAAAATCAGGCCGGCCAAGGTGGCTCACGCCCATAATCCTAGCACTCTGGGAGGCCGAGGTGGGCGGATCACTCGAGGTCAGGAGTTAGAAATCAGCCTGAGCGAGACCCCGTCTCTACTAAAAATAGAAATTGACCAACTAAAAATATATATACAAAAAATTAGCCGGGCCTGTAATCCTAGCACTCTGGGAGGCTGAGGCAGTAGGATTGCTTGAGCCCAGGAGATTGAGGTTGCTGTGAGCTAGGCTGACGCCAGAGCACTCACTCTAGCCTGGGCAACAAAGTGAGATTCTGTCTCAAAAAAAAAAAAATGTAGAAACAGAAAAGCAGAAAGGTGACTGCCAGAGGCAATCCTGGAGGCTTTCAGCCTTCTGCTACGCCCTTATCCAAAAATATCATGGGAAACCTAAATTGTCCTTACCTTTTACAGGGATAGATTCATTATCTGCGAGCTGGGTAACCAACAAAGGATTTCAGGAACTTTAATTTAGCCATTTAAATCTCAAAGGCATTATACCTCGCTTAAAAAACAAATCTGAATAGGTTACATACTGTATGACCTCATTTATAAAACATTCTTGAAATGATGAGAATTATAAAAATGAAGAACTAGTTCTTGGCAGGAGCTAGGAACCAGGTTTGACTATGAAGGGGTAGCATGAGGGAGTCCCCTGGTGATGAAAAGAGCTCTGTATCTTGATTGTGGTGGTTACCCACATTTATACATGATATGGTTTTATATGTAACTGTACATGTATGTAAGTACATATAGTGTATGGCAGATTCTTAATAAAGAATGTAGTCTGGTGTGGTAGGCTAAATAACAGTCCCCAAAGACATCAGGGGAACATATGGCAACAGTGACTTTGCAGATACAACTATTAATAAATTAAGGACCTTGACATTGGGAGATTGCCCTGGATCATCTATGTGGGCCCTGAAAACAATTGCAGATGTGCTTGTAAGGAGACAGGAGATTCTACCTCTGGGTAAGAAAAGGCAATGTGAGCATAAAGGCAGAGATTGGAAAAATGTGGCCACAAGCCAAGTAATTAATGCCAACAGCCACCAAAAGCTAAAAGCAGCAAGGAACGGATTCTACCTACAGCCTATATCACATCAATGTCCGCCCAGTGAAAACAATTTTGGAAATTCTGGCCCCCAGATCTACCAGGAGTAATGCCCTGCTGATTTAACCCACCAAGTTTGTGGTAATTGGTTATAGCAGCCTCATAAAGCTGAAACGTTATAAAATTATCATCACTATGCAGAAGACTCTTGAAGGCTGGACTTGGAAGGACTGAACGAAGAAGAGCTGGACAAAGGATTGTTTTAAAAAATTGAATATACTTTGAACACCATAGTTTTAGGCTAAAAAAAAAAAAAAAAAAAGAAAAAAAAAATTGAATATACTAAGTGAGCCCTAGCAGCAAAAGCCTTAAAATGGTTAGATCATTCCTTCTTCTTGATTATTCATCCATGCAAATTGATTCATTCTTAAGTAATTAACAATTAGAAAACACACTTCCATGGATGATTTTATGCAATAAATGACAAAGTAATTCAGAATATATACAATAAAATTTTTTTTAAAATATACAAGTAAATGGAGGCTGGACATATTGCCTCACACTTGTAATCCCAACTCTTTGGAAGGCCGAGGTGGGAGGATTGCTTGAGACAAGGAGTTCAAGGTTAAGCCAGCTATGACTGTGATGCTGAACTCCAGTCTCCTGGGCAACAGAGACACTGTCTCTAAAATAAATAAACAAGCAAATGAAGCGTAATAGTATTCAAAGGAAAAATATTTAATATAAAAGTTTTAAGATTCATGTCAAGATAAACAATAGAATTTATGAAATATCCTTTTCTTGATGAGTTTCGCTTTTAGATTTTTTCTGTTTTAACTGATCTTGCCATCTCATCCCTCATGCTTTTCCATTGCTTCTCTACATTGACAGATTGCCCCTCCCCCCCGGTGGCATAGAAAGTTCACTCTTATACCAGATAGGATGGTTACTGTTATTTACAATTTTTTTTAAGACTACTCTAGTAGTGAGAAAATAGGGGCAAGAATAGAAAAAGGAGTTTGATTTCTAACCATGAACAATCAACTGAAATAACTCACTACCTCCAGAGCAGCCTACTTTAAAAAAATTTTACCAATATCTAAGTAGTATATGCAACCTTCCTTTTCCCTTATCCCAAGTACGTTGATAGCTATCCATCCTTCTGCAAGGAGGTGTACTGTTTCATTTTCTGGTTTTACATGTTGATTTTTAGTGTTGTCAGCAGGAGAAAAGCATATTATGTATATGTGTTTGTCGTCACCCTAGATTGCTAAAGTATGTCCTCTAGTAATTCTTTCAAAGAAGGAATACAAGAAATAGACTTTCTAAATTCTTCAATATCAACAAATATCTTTGTTTTGCCCTGAAAATCAAATGCCAATTTGGCTGGATATAGAATTCTAGGTTTAAAGCCTTTATCCTGCAGAACCTTTATGACAGCACTCCACTTACTTCTCGCATCCAGGGTGTCCAGTGACAAGTCGGCTGTCAATCTGATTCTTGTTCCTCGGTAGGTTGTTTCTTTTCTCTCTCTGGAAGCCCTTAGGACTTTCTCTTTGTCGTTAAAACTCCAAAATTTTACCAAGATGTGTCTAGGAGTGAGTCTCCTTTTATCAATCTTGCTGGGTATTCGGTAAGCACTGACAATCTCAAGAGGCAAATCTTTCTTTAACTCTGGAAAGTTTTCATCAATTATTTCCTTAATTATGTCTTCTGCTCCATTCTCATAATTAGCCTTTTCTGGAATTCCTATCAAACGAATGTTGGAGCTTCTGAATCTATCCTCCATATCTCTTAACCTTTCTTTATTTATCATCTGTTTGGTCATTTGTAGTGTATCTTTAGAGAATTCCTCAACTTGATCTTCTAGATTGTTCATTCTTTCCTCAAGTATGTCCATCGTGCTACTCAGATCATCTACTGAATTTTTAATTTCTAAGACTTCTGGATGGTGGTTTTTAATATTTCCAATCTCTTTTTGTATCTCCCTCATGCTATTAATCACACTTCTTCTAAAGTTTTCTTCTGTTTCTTGTAATAACTCTGCTTCTTTGGGTGTTAGCTCTTCTGTTTGCAGAATTTTATGTCTCTCTTTCTCTGTTTCCCTAAAAATTTTAGTGACTCCAGATGAAGTACCCAAATTTGTACATGGATATTTTTCATACTTGTCATAACTTATTTCTAGTGATTTCGAGGGAGAGGCCAAGCATAAGTTCAGACAGGGTGTCTCAACTTCTTGACTTCTGGGTACAGCTGTTTCCTCTTCATCCTGGGTTTTGTCAACCACCTTATGTTTCGCCGACTTTTTCCTTTCCGAGTCCAAAACCAAGTAACTAGAGGAAATTTCTTTAAGTCCTCCTGAGGCCTTTTTTTTCTCAGTCTGGAAGGTAGTCCTTACCCTTCCTATCTCAGAGTCCTTTCCTTCCTCTTCTTCCTCCTCTAGCTCAGAATCCTCTACCATGTCAATCAAAATAACCTCCAAACCATCACTGTTTATTTCCTCAACTCCATGCTTTGTATCTACTGCAGTACAACCCTGAAAGGTTGAGTACTGTTCCTCATATAACACTGAGCTCTCTTCCCCCTCATCCTCCAACCCTGAGGACTCTTCCTCCTCCTCCTCCATCCCTGAGGCCTCTTCATCCTCCTCCTCCATCCCTGAGGCCTCTTCATCCTCCTCTACCTCTGAAGCCTCTTCCTCCTCCAACGTGGAAGTTTCTTTTTCGTTCCACTGTGAAGACTCCTCCAGAATCTCCAAGTTCTTCACCTCCTCTGGCTTAGCAACTTTTACCTCTTTACTAAATAGAAAGCTCAAGCCATCACTGGTTGTTCCTCCAGCTCCATGCTTTGAGTCAATTAGAGTTTTACCCTGAAAGTTAAAAAAAAAAGGGAAGAAAAATAATTATTTCTTTAGATCTTCTGTTTTAAAGAATTAAAACTTCCAACTCACTCTCTGAATTATTTACTTAATTTTCTTTATGGGCTACTCAAAGTGAAGCAGTGGGAGTGCAGAAGGAAAAAGGAATCTGGAACTGGTTATGATCAATTAGTTGTAAATATCACCACTCTCTGAATTTAATATATTTCTTGAAGATCTTAGCCTGCCCTGGAGCCTTTCACTTATTCCCTCTGTAAGAAAAAACTCTTCATGTGGCTGGCTCATGGCTCTTTGTCCTCAACTTTTCTAACTTTCCCAGGCCAGGTTAAGTACCTCATCTGTGTAAACCTTGAAGGCAGCTACTTTATGAAATAAAATCCTGATTCTTAAATAAAGAATGTTGCTCCAAATATACCTTCCAATTCTAGATTCTCATTTTGCATACAGGTTACATTTGGAAATGCTAGAAGGGTGGGGAAGAAGGAAGGATTCGTTGAAAACCTGTAAAAAATATTAGCTTAAGATTTCTGGATCAAAATGACAAATTGTACATATGCAATTAACTCCCACCTGTCTTGAAACTCTCCAGAAGTGGCAGAGCAATGGAGGAAAGCCATAGGAATGAAGGAAAAGGGAAAGATGGCCATAACACAAAATTTTGGGAGCTGGAAAGTATAGGATAAGTGTTATATGCTTTGGTAGACCCCAGGAAATTACAACAGTAAAAAAAAAATAAGTAGGCCAGGCGTGGTGGCTCATGCCTGTAATCCTAGCACTCTGGGAGGATGAGGTGGGCGGATTGCTTGAGGTCAGGAGTTCAAAACCAGCCTGAGCAAGAACGAGACCCCATCTCTACTATAAATAGAAAGAAATTAATTAGCCAACTAATATATATAGAAAAAATTAGCCAGGCATGGTGGCACATGACTGTAGTCCCAGCTACTTGGGAGGCTGAGACAGGAGGATCGCTTGAACCCAGGAGTTTGAAGTTGCTGTGAGCTAGGCTGATGCCACAGCACTCACTCTAGCCTGGACAACAAAAGCGAGACTCTGTCTCAAAAAAAAAAAAACCAAAAAAAGTGTGCAGCAAACCAGGCTGCAGGGTCGGCATCGCCTGTGAATCCTGGGACTCTGGGAGGACAAGGTGGGAATATTGCTTGAGCTCAGGAGTTCAAGACCACCAGCCTAAGTGACAGAGAGACCCCCATCTCTACTAAAATAGAAAAATTAGCCAGGTGCAGTGGCATGTGCTTGTAGTCCCAGCTATTGGGGAGGCTGAGGCAGGAGGATCACTTGAGCCCAAGTAGTTTAAGGTTGTAGTAAACTACGATGACACCACTGTACTCTAGCCCAGGTGACAACAATGAGACTCTGGGCCGGGCACGGTGGCTCACACCTGTAATGCTAGCATTCTGGGAGGCCAAGGCAGGCGGATTGCTCGAGGTCAGGAGTTTGAAACCAGACTGAGCAAGAGCGAGACCCCGTGTCTCTAGCTATTAAACAATTTAAGAAAGAAGTGTAATTGGGCCAATATAGATATATTATAAGAGATGAGGAAAAAAATACCAGGCATGGTGGTGCATGCCTATAGTCCCTGCTAGCTTAGTAGGGCTATGAGGCAGCAGGATTGCTTGACCGGAGTTTGAGAAGTTGCTGTAGCTACGCGACGCCAATGGCACTCACTCCTTATTGCCTGGGCACGAAAGTAACCTGTCTCAAAAAAGAAATGAGAAACTAACCATGGAATACTAAAAACCTAAGGAATTAGCTACAGGCAGTACCTCTAGGAGTGGAACTGAAACATAATATTAGTTGAGTCTTTAAGAAACATAAGATGGACAACTGGCGTTTCCTTGCTTTGGCAGAGGACTGGGGGCGAGAGTACAGAGGGAAGAGAAGGCCAATCTTTTTGTTGTTGTTCTTAAGACAGGATCTCTCTCTGTTGCCTGGGCTAGAGCACAGTGGGTTCCAGCATAGCTCACTGCCGCCTCAACCTTCTGGGCTCAATCAATCCTGCCTTAACCTCCCAGATAAATGAGTGCAACAGAAACGTACCACTACAACAAGCTATTTTTCTATTTTTTGTAGAGATGAGGTCTCGCTATGTTTCTCAGGCTGGTCTCTAACTCCTTGCTTCAGGCAATCTTGCTGCCTCAACCTCCCAGGTTGCTGGGATTACAGGTGAGAGGCACTGCATCTGCCCTCAATTTATTGTCCTATTAATAACTAGAATATACATTAAACTTCTCTGAAACAGACAACACTGGCCCTTTCTCATCTCTCCAATGCTTTCAATACCACGCTTTTTTGAAAAGCAGCATTTTCTTTTTTTTTTTTTTTGAGACAGAGTCTCACTTTGTTGCCCAGGCTAGAGTGAGTGCCGTGGCGTCAGCCTGGCTCACGCAACCAATCCGGGGCAACCTCAATCTCCGGGGCTCAGTGATCCTACTGCCTCAGCTCCCCGAGTAGCTGGGACTACAGGCATGGCACCACCAATGCCTCGTAAGATGTTTTGTATATATATTTTAGTTGGTCAGATTAATTAGTTTATTTTTGGTAGAGACGGGGTCTCGCTTAGGCTGGTTTCGAACTCCACCTTGAGCAATCCGCCCGCCTCGGCCTCCCAAAGTGCTAGGATTACAGGCGTGAGCCACCACGCCCGGCCTGAAAAGCAGCATTTTAAATCATTATGTTTAATGCCATGTTTTTACTTTTAAGGAATCATTTCTCAAAACATTGATTTAACCTTCAGAATAACTGTGCCCACTCATACTTTACCCAAAAGCTTTATAGATTTCTGTGCTTACCATTTTTTCTTGAATCCCATATCTTCTTCCTCCTTGATTTATTTTTTCATTTTGTGGGAGTACATCTTCCAGTAATTCTTTCATATAAGATTTTTGGCTAATAAACTTCCTGAGGCTTTGCAGGTCTGAAAATTCCTTTATTTCGCCATCACATTTAAATGCTAACTTAACTTGGCATAGAAATTTAGGCTCATACTCATTTTCTCTCAGAATATTGAAGATATTACTCCATTGCTTACTAATATCTAGTGTTGCTGACGAAAAGTCTGCCGCCAGGGTGAGTGTTGCTCCTTCATCCATTAACCGTTCTTCTTCTCTAGAGGCTTTTAGAATTTCCTCTTTCTTACTGAAGTTCGGATGTTTTTTTTCCTCTCCCAATTCTTTGACTAGTTCATCCTCTCCATTTTTTCTAGTCTCTCCTTCTCTAACTTCTATATGGATATTGTAATTTCTGTGTCTGTCATCTATATTGCTTAAGGTTTCTTCTATACTTTCCATGATTCTGTAATTTAGTGATTCATTCTGGGATAATTTCTTACCTTCATTACTACTGGATTCTTTAGCTTTGTCTAATTTGCTACTCAGCTCATTTACTTTTCTTTCACAAGTTAAACTTTCAATATCCTCAACTATTTTAGAGTATTCTCCTATTTTCTCTACCAGCCCTGTTTTTTCCGAGGTTAAATCTTTTATTTGTTGCCACTGTTTCCTCCTGCTACTGGAGTTCTTGGACTTTTTTATTATAGGTATTGTATTTTTTACTCCTAACATTTCTTTGAGGTCATTTTTAAGAGTTTCCCTCATCTCATCAAACATTAGGTCCTGGATTTCTGTCAAGACCTTAAACTTTTTCATAATAACTGCTGATATGTCTTTGTATTTTAAATCCAATATTGGAGCTATCTCCTTATCAGTTTCTATCAGTTTCTCCTTTCTTTCCATATAGGTGGTATTTTCCTGTTCCTCTGCAAGGCTAACAAGTTTTGACTGTACAATAGACATTGTGGATGTTGTCAAGGCTGGATTCTGTTTTCTTCCTAAAGAATAACTTTTGTTCTTACAGGGCTGCGAGACTCCAGAAATTCAATAATCTTATAACACGTCAATCTGAAATATAAAAAAAATGAATAATTGTTTACTGAAGAATTCAAGAAACTCAAAAGAATATAAACTTGGTTAAGAAAACTATTCTGCTGGGAGGCTGAGGCGGGCGGATTGCTCGAGGTCAGGAGTTCAAAACCATCCTGAGCAAGGAGTAGACCCCTCTCTACATAACATAGAAAGAAATTAATTGGCCAACTAATATAGAAAAAAAAAATAAGCCCGGCATGGTGGCGCATGCCTGTAGTCCCAGCTAATTGGGAGGCTGAGGCAGTAAGATTGCTTGAGCCCAGGAGTTTGAGGTTGCTGTGAGCTAGGCTGACGCCACGGCACTCACTCTAGCCTGGACAACCAAGTGAGACTCTGTCTCAAAAAAAAAAGAAAACTATTCTGGGCTGGGTGCCTTGGCTCACACCTATAATCCTAACACTCTGGGAGGCCCAGGTGGGCAGATCACTCAAGGTCAGGAGTTCTAAACCAGTCTGAGCAAGAGCAAGACCTCATCTCTACTAAAAATAGAAAGAAATTAATTTGCCAACTAAAAATACACAGAAAAAATTAGGCACATGCCTATAGTCCCAGCTACTCCGGAGGCTACAGCAGGAGGATCACCTGAGCCCAGGAGTTTGAGGTTGCTGTGAGCTAGGCTGATGCCATGGCACTCTAGCCCAGGCAACAGAGCAAGACTCTGTCTCAAAAAAAAAATAAGGCTGGGTCAGCCCAGGCAGGCGGATGCTCAAGGTCAGGAGTTCGAAACTAACCTGAACAAGAGCAAGACCCCGTCTCTACTATAAATAGAAGAAATAATTGGTCAACTAATATATATAGAAAAAATTAGCGGGCGATGGTGGTGCATGCTGTAGTCCCAGCTACTCGGGAGGCTGAGGCAAGTAGGATTGCTTGAGCCCAGGAGTTTGAGGTCGCTGTGAGCTAGGCTGATGCCACGGCACTCACTCTAGCCTAGGCAACAAAGCGAGACTCTGTCTCAAAAAATAAATAAATAAATAAAATAAACTATTCTGGTGCTTGCTTTGGCAGCACATACACTAAAATTGGAATGATACAGAAGAGCATGGCCCCTGTGAAATAAAAACAATTGACAAAAGAAAATAACTATTCTGTAGGGGAAAATTGAAAACATTCCCCCTAAGAACTGGAACAACACAAAGATGTCCACTTTTACCACTCTTAACAATATTCAACATAGTATTTTAGTCCTTGAGCAATCAACAAGGAAGAGGGTAAAAAAAGGCATCCAAATTGGAAAAATGGAAGTCAAATCATCCCTGTTCCACAATATGATCTTTTTTAATTAGAAAACCCTTAAGATTCCACAAAAAATTCTTATTAGATTTGATGAATTCAGTAAAATTTCTGGATACAAAAATCAGCATACAGAAATCAGTAGCATTTCTATACACCAATAATAATCTAGTCAAGAACCATATCAAGGCTTCAAGCAACATTATTAAAAAAATGAGAAAAAAAAGTCAAGAAAGCAACCCCATTTACAACTAGCACAGAAAAATAAAACACTTAGGAATAGGAATATATTCAACCAAGGAGGTGAAAGATTCCCTACAAGGAAAACTGCAAAACACTGATGAAAGAAATTGAAGATAACAAAAATGGAAAAATATCCAAGGTTCATGGATCAGAAGAATTAATATCATTAAAATAACCATACTGCCTAAAGCAATTTATAGGTTCAATTCAATCCTTAGTCAAAATACCAACATCATTTTTCACGGAGTTAGAAAAAACAATTCTAACATTCATATGGAACCAAAAAAAGAGCCCAAATAGCCAAAGCAATCTTGAATAAAAACAACAGAACTAGAGGCACCACATTGTCTGACTTCAAATTATACTACAAGGCAATAACGACCAAGGCAGCATGGCATGGGCATAAAAGTAGACACATATTGGCCGGGCGTAGTGGCTCACGCCTGTAATCCTAGCACTTTGGGAGGCACGAGCGGGCGGATTGCTCAAGGTCAGGAGTTCAAACCAGCCTGAGCGAGACCCTCGTCTCTACCAAAAATAGAAAGAAATTAATTGACCAACTAAAAAGTATATATACAAAAAAATTAGCTGGGCATGGTGGCACATGCTGTAGTCCCAGCTACTTGGGGCTGAGGCAGTAGGATCGCTGAGCCCCGGAGATGAGGTTGCTGTGAGCCAGGGCTAATGCCACGGCACTCACTCTAGCCTGGGCAACAAAGTGAGACTCTGTCTCAAAAAAAAAAACAAAAAACAAAAAACAAAAGTAGACACATAGATCAATGGAACAGAATAGAGAAACCAGAAATAAAGCCACATACTTAACAGCCAACTGATCTTTGACAAAGTCAACAACAATATATACACTGGGCTGCACTGGAATGTTTATAGCAGCACAATTTACAACTGCAAAGAAGTTGCCGGGCGCTGTGGCTCACGCCTGTAATCCTAGCTCTTGGGAGGCCGAGGCGGGCGGATTGCTCAAGGTCAGGAGTTCAAAACCAGCCTGAGCAAGAGCGAGACCCCGTCTCTACTATAAATAGAAAGAAATTAATTGGCCAACTGGAGTATATATATAAAATTAGCCGCATGGTGCGCGCATGCCTGTAGTCCCAAGCTACTCGGGGAGGCTGAGGCAGAAGGATCACTCAAGCCAGGAGTTTGAGGGTTGGTGTGAGCTAGGCTGACGCCACGGCACTCACTCTAGCCTGGACAACAAAGTGAGACTCTGTCGCAAAAAAAAAAAAAAGAAGTTGAAACAAGCCAATCCACAAGTGGATTAATAAAATGTGGTATATGTATACCATGGAGCACTACTCAGCCATAAAAAAAAAAAAAAAAACCAACAGTGAACTAATACCTCTTGTATTATCCTGGATGGAGCTGGAGCCCATTCTTCTAAGCAAAGTATCACAAAAATGGAAAAACAGGCCGGGCGCGGTGGCTCACGCCTGCCTGTAATCCGTAGCTCTCTGGGCCGAGGCAGGCGGATTGCTCAAGGTCAGAGAATCAAAACCAGCCTGAGCAAGAGCGAACCCCGTCTCTACTATAAAATAGAAAGACTAATTGGCCAACTGATATATAATATATAAAATTAGCCGGGCATGGTGGCGCATGCCTGTAGTCCCAGCTACTCGGGAGGCTGAGACAGAAGGATCGCTCGAGGCCCAGGATTTGAGGGCTGTGAGCTAGGCTGACGCCACGGCACTCACTCTAGCCTGGGCAAACAAGCGAGACTCTGTCTCAAAAAAAAAAAAAAAAAAAAAAAAAAAAGGAAAAACAAATACCACATGTACTCACCATTAAATTGGTACTAATCAAACCTTAGGTGCACATATGGAAGTAACATTCATCCAGTGTTGCGCAGGTGGCCGGAGGTAAGAGGATATAGGTAAACTCACAGTTAACAGGTGCTGTTTAGGAGATAGGCACGCTTGTAGCTCTGACTCAGGAGGTGCAAAGGCAGTTTATGTAACCAAAGTGCACGTATCCCTGTAATAGTCTGAAATTAAAGAAAAAAAATTAAACACACACACACAAAAACAAAAACTAGCCGGGCGTGGTGGCTCAGGCGAGTAATCCTAGCACTCTGGGAGGCTGAGGCAGGTGGATTGCTCAAGGTCAGCCTGAGCAAGACGCCACCTCTACTAATACTAAAAATAGAAAGAAACTAATTGACCAACTAAAAATATATATAGAAAAAATTAGCCAGGCACGGTGGTGCATGCCTGTAGTCCCAGCTGCTCGGGAGGCTGAGGCAGTAGGATCGCTTGAGCCCAGGAGATTGAGGGTTGCTGTGAGCTAGGCTGATGCCAAGGCACTCTAGCCTGGGCAACAGAGTTAGACTCTGTCTCAAAAAAAAAAAAAAGATAGGGAGACTCCATCTACAACAACAAAAAGGCAGCACGGACAACAAAAACAAATGGGACTTAAACTACAAAGCCTCTGCACAGCAAAAGAATGAACAGAGTGAATAACTTGTAGAATGGGAGAAAATATTTGCAAACTATAAATCTGACAGATTATTACTGAGAACTTATAAGGAACTCCAACAACTCAACAACAAAAAATCAAATATCCCCATTAAAAAGTGGGCTAAGAGGCTGGACGCGGTAGCTCATGCCTGTAATCCTAGCTCTCTGGGAGGCTGAGGCAGACAGATCCTTTGAGCTCAGGAGTTAGAAACCAACCTGAGCAAGAGCGAGACCCCATCTCTACTATAAATAGAAAGAAATTAATTGGCCAACTAATATATATAGAAAAAATTAGCCGGGCATGGGGGCGCATGCCTGTAGTCCAAGCTACTCAGGAGGCTGAGGCAGAAGGATTGCTTAAGCCCAGGAGTTTGAGGTTGCTGTGAGTCAGGCTGATGCCATGGCACTCACTCTAGCCTGGGCAACAAAGTGAGACTTGTGTCAAAAAAAAATAGGCTAAGGAAATGAACAGACATTTTTCAAAAGACAACCTAATGGCCAAGAAACATGAAAAAATGTTTAATCTCTCTAAACACCAGAGAAATGCAAATTAAACGACAATGAGATATTATCTTACATGAATCAGATGGCTATTATTAAAAACAAAAAAATAACAGATGTTGGCAAGGATGAGGAGAAAAGGGAACTTTTTTTTTAAATTTCTTTATATTATGGGGGTACAAATGTTTAGGTTGCTTATGTTGTCTTGTCCCACCACCCACGCCCCCCAGAAAAGAGAACTCTTATACCCTTATGGGTGGGAAGGTAAATTAGTGCAACCTCTACAGAAAAAAGTATGGAGAATTCTTAAAGAACTAAAAATATTAATAGAACTACTGGCCGGGTACTGTGGCTCACACCTGTAATCCTAGCACTCTGGGAGGCCTAGGCGGGCGGATTGCTCGAGGTCAGGAGTTCAAAACCAGCCTGAGCAAGAGCCAGGCCCCATCTCTACTAAAAATACAAAGAAATTAATTGGCCAACTAATATATACAGAAAAAAAAAAAATTAGCTAGGCATGGTGGTACATGCCTATAGTCCCAGCTACTCAGGAGGCTGAGGTAGAAGGATTGCTTGAGCCCAGGCGTTTGAGGTGGCTGCGAGCTAGGGCGACACCATGGCACTCACTCTAGCCTGGGCAACAAAGCGAGAGACTATCTCAAAAAAAAAAAAAAAAAAAAGAGGAAGCAGAAAAAGAAACATACATGCCATACCAAATTATGAAAGTCTGAAGTAGAATCTTGGAGAAAATGGAAATTGTAGAAATTGATAATATTTAGACTTTTTCTCAAAACCAGTTGTCAAGTCAATTCAGAACATTATTTCACAGAGTGCAAATGTTAAGACACAGGCTGAAGGAAGAAAAAGAATTAAATTTCATATCTCTTCCCACCTCACATTTAAGACCCATCTTTCCTTCAGGAGATTCACTAGGGTTGCTCATTTCTGGTTTTAAGTAGCACATGATAACTGTATAACTGCCTGACAGCAATGAGAAGTAGGAAAGCACAATAGGAACACTTTGGACAACTGGGATGCCAGTTCCTCAATCTTTTCCTCTACAAGGACTAGTAAGTATTCTAGTTGCTAAAAATTGCATCCCCTGGCCAGGTGTGCTGGCTCACCACTGGAATCCTAGCACTTGGGGAGGCCAATGCGAGTGGATCCTTTGAGCTCAGGAGTTTGACAGCAGCCTGAGCAAGAGCCAGACCCCGTCTCTACAAAAAAAAAAAAAAAATTGCATCAACTGCTGGGTCATCACTGCTGACTGTGAAGCCTCAGGCTAAGGTGCTTTCTTTTAGCTTAAGTATATTGCTTGTTTTTAAGAAGTTGGGTTGAGCGGGCTGATCTCCGTAAATTTGGGGATAAAACAAAAGGGCAAGCGTATGGGCACAAGGGGCCAACCAATCAAAGTAAAGGTCAAGCACATGGGAGGGGCCAACCAATCAATGTAAAGGTCAAGCGTGTAGACAGGTGATGCACAGTAGGCCAGGTCTATGTCCCAGTAGAGGCCACCATATCAGTGCTCTGGGACTTAGACCCTAGCTCCAGCTAGTCAATAAAACTCCTTTTTGATGATTTCAGTCTCAGTGACCCTGTCTCTTTGTTCTGTGGTCCTACTGTTTCCCACTCTAACACTGACAAGACCCAAATTGCTTGAATTCACAGATATAAAAAGTAAAATCCAAATAAAAAAAAAAGTAAAATCCCACCCCCTTCTAAGAGGATTCAGTGACTTAAGGAGATCATGATAAATAATCAAAACTGGCATTTTTTTTTTTTGAGATAGAGTCTAGCTTTGTTGCCCAGGCTAGAGTTAGTGCCCTAGTATCAGCCTCGCTCACAGCAACCAAACTCCTGGACTCAAGCAATCCTCCTGCCTCAGCCTCCCAAGTACCTGGGACTACAGGCATGAGCCACCATGCCCGAAAAAATTTTTCTATATATATTAGTTGGCCAATTAATTTCTTTCTATTTATAGTAGAGACGGGGTCTCGCTCTTGCTCAGGCTGGTTTTGAGCTCCTGAGCTCAAGAATCACTCCCCAAGGCCTCCCAGAGTGCTAGGATTACAGGCAAGAGCCATCCCGCCAGGCCAAACTGGTAGGTATTTTTGAAGCAGATATATGGAAAAGAAAAGGGAAATGGCACTTGTGAGCACTAACAATAGCTTTGAGGAACAGAACCAGAAAGTCCTACCATGCAGCTAATGGAAGGATAAAGAGTGCATTTCCGGCAGGGCATGGTGGCTCAATGCCTGTAATCCTAGCACTCTAGGAGGCCCATGCCCTCAGATTGCTCAAGGTCAGGAGTTCAAAACCAGCCTGAGCCTGAGAGGCAAGACCCCCTCTCTACCAAAAATAGAAAGAAATTAATTGACCAACTAAAAATATATATACAAAAAATTAGCCGGGCATGGTGGCACATGCCTGTAGTCCCAGCTACTTGGGAGGCTGAGGCAGAAGGATTGCTTGAGCCCAGGAGTTTGAGGTTGCTGTGAGATAGGCTGACACCATAGCACTCACTCTAGCCTGGACAACAAAGTGAGACTCTAAAAAAAAAAAAAAAAGTGCATTACATATTTAATAGAAAACCTCCCCAAACTTGAGTCATCTGATAGAAAAATATCACCAAATCTGGTGTAGAGTTAATAAAAGGTATATATACAATACATATATCCCATATATATGTACCCACATATATCCCAGGGACACCTCTGGGGACAGAGGTGAACTTTCCAAGTTCCCAGACACTTGTTCACATTTACTGAGCACAGATTATATGCTAGTTACTGTGCGAGGTGCTATAATGGAAAGAATGTTGAACAGAAACAGATATGGAACCTACCCTCAAGTGGCTTAATGTCTAGGGAGAAACAAATAGAAAATTGCAATTGTGCCAGCCTACAAAGTAGAGATCAAGGGTCACAAGTGCCCATACAAGGTGTAATCTCGTGTATTCAGGGAGAGCCAGGATGGTTTACCTGAGGAAGTGGGCAGTTGAATCTGAAAGAAATGAGCAGGAGCTATACAGCAAAGACCACAAGGAAGTGCACTGTGGAAACACTGTGTACAAGCATGGAGCAAACATTGCTGACAGACAGGTATACAGGAGGGGGTAGTGGGAGGGGTTTCTCCTAGTGATAGGAAAGAGTAAGAAAGAACCACTTTTAAAGAGTACAAAAAGGCCAGGAACAAGGAAAAGGTACAAATAAATAACACTATGAATGAAAAGGGGACACAATTACTGACAAAGCATGATTCAAAATTGGAAGCATTGCCCGGAGCCATGGCTCACACCTATAATCCTAGCACTCTGGGAAGCTGAGGCGGGCGGATTGCTCCAGGTCAGGAGTTCAAAACCAGCCTGACCAAGATGGAGACCCATCTCTACTATAAATAGAAAGAAATTGGCCAACTAATATATATAGAAAAAATTAGCCGGGCATGGTGGCACATGCCTGTAGTCCCAGCTACTTAGGAGGCCAGGCAGCAGAATTGCTTGAGCCCAGGAGTTAGAGGTTGCTGTGAGCTAGGCTGACACCATGGCACTTAGTCTAGCCTGGGCAACAAAGTGAGACTCTGTCTCAAAAAAAAAAAAAAATTGGAAGCATTAAACCTTCATAATTATATTTGAAAATTTAGAAGCAACTTTTATAAACTCAGCTCTTCTAGAGAATAACAAAAAGAAAATATTTCATTATAAGGACAGGATAACTTTGGCGGGCGCGGTGGCTCACGCCTGTAATCCTAGCTCTCTGGGAGGCCGAGGCGGGCGGATTGCTCAGGATCAGGAGTTCAAGACCAGCCTGAGCAAGAGCGAGACCCGTCTCACTATAAATAAAAGAATTAATTGGCCAACTAATATATACAAAAAATTAGCTGGGCATGTGGCGAATGCCTGTAGTCCCAGCTACTTGGGAGCTGAGGCAGGAGGATCGCTTGAGCCCAGGATTTGAGGTTGCTGTGAGCTAGGCTGACGCCATGGCACTCACTTCTAGCCTGGCAACAAAGCGAGACTCCGTCTCAATAACAAACAAACAAAAAAAAAAAAAAAGGACAGATAACTTCAATAATAAACTAGAGGACAATAAGACTAAATTACTGGTTTCCTCAAACTCATACAGATGCAAAATTCTTAAAGAAAAATTAGCATAGCCAGGCACCATGGCACATGCCTGTAGTCCCAGCTACTAGGCAGGCTGAGGCAGGAGGATCACTTGAGCCCAGGAGTTTGAGGTTGCTGTGAGCTAGGCTGATGCCAAGGCACTCTAGCCTGGGGAACACAGTGAGACTCTGACTCAAAAAACAAAACAAAAACCAAAAAAAGGTTCCCCTTCCAGAAATTTCCATTTAAATAGGTCTGAATTGCAAATTAAGCTAAAATTGGTAGGTAGGTACTTCAAAGAGGAAATACAATTAAATTATAGAATAACCACAGGCCCAGCTCTGTAATCCTATCATTCTGGGAGGCCAGGGGGGAGGACCTCTCAAGGTCAGAAATTGGAAGCCAGCCTGAGCAAGAGGGAGACCCTGTCTCTACTAAAAATAGAAAGAAATTGGCTGGTCTGAAGGTAGTGAGTTAGAAGGTAGTCAGTTATCTCAGAGGACTGTTCACAGTCAGTTACAGATTGAGCTCCTTGTTCTACTACTTTCCCCCCTCCTCACTACTGCACTTGACTAGCCTTAAAAAAAAAAAAAAAACGAAAGAAAGAAATTAATTGCTAAACTAAAAATATATAGAAAAAAATTAGCCAGGCATGGTGGCACATGCCTGTAGTCCTAGCTACTCCGGAGGCTGAGGCACACTAGCCTGAGCAACAGAGACTAAAAAAAAAACAAAAAAGTAAAACAACCACACAAAAATCGCTAAAGTTTCTTACATAGTGCATATAAATTGATAAGCTGCGATGAAAAAAACTCTTTAAAAGAGTGCAAATCGGGCCGGACATGGTGGTTCAGGCCTGTAATCCCAGCACTCTGGGAGGCTGGGGCAGGAGGATTACTGGAGGTCAGGAGTTTGAAACACAGCTGAGCAAGTGAGACGTCTCTACTATAAACAAAAAGAACTAATATATATAAAAAAATTAGCGGCATGGTGGCGCATGCCTGTAGTCCCAGCCACTCAAGAGGCTGAGGCAGAAGGATGCTTGAGCCCAGTAGTTTGGTTGCTGTGAGCTAGGCTGACACCATGGCACTCACTCTAGCCTGGGCAACAAAATGACTCAGTCTTAAAAAAAAAAAGAATGCAAATCAATTATTTTTTAGTGAACATGAAAAGCTGTCCAATCATGGGACTTGGGGATATGTAAAAAAAAAAGAGACCACTTTTACCCATTTGAAGTAGGAATAGTTATAACTTTTCAGGAAATTTGAAAAGCCTATTAAAAAGTCAGAATACATATACTCCCCCCCCTCTTGAGAATCTACCAGGAACAATGAAACCAGACCAGGCATGGTGGCTCAGGCATGTAATCCTAGCACTCTGGGAGGCCGAGGCGGGTAGATTGCTGGAGGTCAAGAATTTGAAACCAGCCTGAGCAAGAGCGAGACCCCGTTTCTACTATAAATAGAAAGAAATTAATTGCCAACAATATAATACACAAAAATTAGCCGGGCATGGTGGCGCATGCCTGTTCCAGCTACTTGGGAGGCTGAGGCAGCAGGATTGCTTGAGCCTAGGGCTTTGAGGTTGCTTTGAGCTAGGCTGACGCCACAGCACTCACTCACTCTAGCCTGGGCGACAAAGTGAGACTCTGTCTCAAAAAAAATAAATAAAATAAAAAATAGAGTGAGTGCCATGGCATCACCCTAGCTCACAGCAACCTCAAATTCCTGGGCTCAAGCGATCCTTCTGCCTCAGCCTCCCAATTAGCTGGGACTACAGGCATGTGCCACCAAGCCTGACTAATATTTTCTCTATATATTAGTTGGCCAATTAATTTCTTTCTATTTATAGTAGAGACGGGGTCGCGCTCTCGGTCAGGCTGGTTTCCAACTCCTGACCTCGAGCAATCCGCCTGCCTCGGCCTCCCAGAGAGCTGGGATTACAGGCGTGAGTGAGCTACCGTGCCAGGCCAGCACTCACTCTAGCCTGGGCAACAAAGTGAGACTCTGTCTCAAAAAAAAAAAAAGGAACCACCTTTAATTAAGAATAAATGATAAAAGGTTTAGTATTGTGGTTTTTGTGACAAAAATACACTATTTCGCATATGTGTATTTATGGACATGTAATATGTTTATGCACATACAAAATTATACTATAGAGTATATTGAAATCACATATTGGTTAAATATGTCATTGATATATTACAAGAGAAAAAGTTGCAGAAAATGTGAGTAGTACAATTCTGTTTTTCTAAACACACACACAAAAACCGCATGGACAGTAAACATGAAAAAGATGCTCAATGTTATTAGTCAGGGGATGGGAAGGAAAAAAAATGGAGTACATGTTTGAACACCCTGGTTAGTGACACACAGACAAGGGGGAGAAGGGGGGGCAAGTATTCTCCCCCACACCTTTAAAATAGCCCTGGGGAATTCTCGCACCCCATAGGTAATTAACTCTGTCATCTAGCACTGCCTATCTTGCAAGACACTCCATGGTAATGACAGATGCCCTAAGAAAAAAGTAGGAAATTACTTGAATGCCCACTGCTGAGGAAATAACTGAACCCACATATGTCCAAAACATGGAATGTCATACAGGCTCAAGCAATCCTTCTGCCTCAGCCTCCCAAGTAGCTGGGACTACAGGCATGCGCCACCATGCCCGGCTAATTTTTTCTATACATATTTTTAGTTGGTCAATTAATTTCTTTCTATTTATAGTAGAGACGGGGTCTCGCTCTTGCTCAGGCTGGTTTCGAACTCCTGACTTCAAGCAATCCGCCTGCCTCAGCCTTCCAGAGTGCTAGGATACCCTGCCAGCCTCTGCCTTCTTGACTAGGGATTCTGAACCCAGATTGCCCGTGGACAGAATTCAGTGTCTTATATCATGGATGGGAAAAAGAGATCTCTGGACTTTAATCTCTGATTAGAATTTAGCATTTGATAATTACCAAAAATAACAAATTTGGGATATGAAATATGAGCTTATTACCCTATTATTTAACAAGATTGAGTGGCGGAACTAAACTCTTTATCCTTCAAGTAGTGAGAGTGTAAAACTGTGTTTCAGGATACCTGCAACCACTATAATATGAAATAAAATATCTATGATTTCTAGTGATAACAATTGGGCGGGTTTTGCTAACAATAGTGCCAGGTTAGGTGCGCCCACTCTAGATTACAGGCAAGCCTCCTTCAGTCCCAAGGTCACCTCTCCAGGTTCACTCCAAAATACCCCTGCCGGCCCATCACCTGCACACCAGCCCTCCATTTAACCAGCCACCAAGCCACAAAACCACCAAGTCCCAGCAGCTTACTCACTTCTGTGCCTTCCCGGGGAGAGGGGCCTCCTGCAGGGCAGGGCTGTAGAGTTGTGCCTCAGCGCCTAGAATTCAAGTGGAGTCTAAAATATAGAAGTCAAAGTTTAAGACTTAATACGTAGAAAACCACCCCATTTGGTAGACAGGAAAAAAAAGTACCTCGCTAGCTTCCTGTTTGCTTAAAAAAACCTAGGCGAGGCCGGGCGCTGTGGCTCACGCCTGTAATCCTAGCTCTTGGGAGGCCGAGGCGGGCGGATTGCTCAAGGTCAGGAGTTCAAAACCAGCCTGAGCAAGAGCGAGACCACCAGTCTCTACTAAAAATACCGTAAAGAAAGTTAATTGCCAACTGACTATAATAATAGTATACAAAAAATTAGCCGGGCATGGTGGCGCATGCCTGTATCCCAGCTACTCGGAAGGCTAGGGCAGAAGAATCACTCGAGCCCAGGAGTTTGAGGTTGCTGTGAGCTAGCTGACGCCACGGCACTCACTCTACCTGGCAACAAAGGAGACTCTGTCCTCAAAAAAAAAAAAACCTAGGCGAGTTAGTAACGGAGTCTGGCGGTGCACGTGGGAGAGGCCCGCGGGGAAGGATCCACAGCCGAATTTGAGGAAGAGAGAGAAAGGGCAGGGGAGAGGATGGCTGCTGCTTTGTGAGACTTGGGGTCTGTTATCAAACACGTGCTTTCCTTCTCAGATCTGAGGTAAATAGTAAATAAATCTTTAATTTTTAAACAAAAAACCAAATTATATAAATAATAAAATAAAAATTACTTAAAAAAAAAAAAGACGTGCTCTCCTTGCGTAATATGAAAATGAACCCAGCCACCTTTTCCAACACTTGAAGGGAATACCGAGGAGTTATTACATCCGAATCTGTTTTCCAGTCAGATAAAGAAACACTTCAGAAAAACGTTGGAGATGGAGTTCAAGGTCCCAGATCTAGGTGCTGGCAGAAGACCCAGGTCCGCCCGGCTCCAAAGCTAGCACCAGTCAAGCACCTCCTCATTGTCTCGGCCTCATTTTCTCCTCACAGAGCTGCTATTTTAGCACCCCCATTTGGGGTGGGAAGAGGCTTAGGAAGGTCCTCTCTCACGACACAGCCGCTGAGGGACAGAGCAGGGGTGAAGGCGAGGGGGCGACCCACCCCGCGCCCCGCACACCTGGGCCAGCCTTACCTGGAGAAGAAGGAAGCCCGCCCGGAGGACGGAGAAGCCAACGAGGTCAGGAAGGAGTATTTTAATTGAGGAGCGAACGGACTCACAACCTCTTACTGGCTCCTCCCCTTCTCCTAAGGATTGGAAAGTTTCCAGGCTCAACCTCCCCCCTCCCCCCACCCAATCTACATTCCGTCGCCTCCTCCCCGGAAGTCGCATTCCGTCCCCAAGTGAGGGCTGACTTCCATTTGGGCCGGGACTGGGACTGAGCGCCAACTCTCTTCCCTAGGGCTCCGCCGAGCCTCCGCCTGGACGCGGCCCCCAGCCCACCTGTTGGGATGCAGGCTCACATCTCTGTAAAGGCGCCACTCAGCGCCTAACTGCGCAGGCCAGACCTCCAAGGTCACCTCATCCGTCACCCTCCCCCCACACAGATAATCCACTCCCTAGCCCTTGGGTCTGCTCTCTTATCCCTCTCCGCGGCTCCAGCGCATTGGGAGCCCATCTTCTCGCACCTGGATCCCTGAAATAGGCACCAGCTGGTCTCCTAGCCGCCTCTGGCCCCCTAGCCGCCTCTGGCCCCTCTGCAATCCCTCTCCCCACTTGTTAGTAATATCCTTCAGTAGCTTCCCATTTCAGTACAGTAACTTTCTAACTCATTCCATCCTGTGTCCCCCTGCAACGTTGTCTTAGTACTCCTGTGCCGGTCACAGAGACACTTGTTTCCTTTTTGTTCCTCAGAAAACACTGAGCTTCCTGCCTCAGGGCCTTTGCACTAGCTGTTTCCTTTGTGAGTTATTTTCCCAGTTCTTGCAAGGCCTACTTCTTTCATCCTCATACTAATTCCTCTAAAAGGCCTCCCAGGCCACCCTTTCCATTTATTACAGCACCCCCTCTATTTGGTTCTCAGTTAAGGGAATCTGAATTCATCTATTCAATGCTGTGGTTTCTTTTTTATTATGTCTTGCTTCTACTTCTCCACTAGAGTATAGACTGTAACCCATGAGGGCAAGAATTTTATCTTTCTTGTTTGACGATTTATTCGTTCACTGTACCAAGAATTATCACTAGTATGTATTAGGCCCTCATGTTTTTGTTTTTTTTTTCCTTCTAACTTGCTTTAAGGAAAGATAGACCCTCATGTTGAATGAAGGAATAACTGAGTAAGCACACTCTTCTTACCAAATCAGATTCTGGTTGTGCTCAGTGTGCTACCAAATGCTTCCCAATTTTCTCCAGAAATAAAAACAGGTGCTGGGCGGGTCAGGAAGCTGTCCTGTGCGAAGACTCAAGAGTTCTGGGTGGTTCGGCTCCCCAGGCCTGATTTGCAAGGCTCAGGAGGAAGCTGACTTGCCCAAGGTCACACAGCTAAGAAGCAGTGAAGCCTCAATATCCGGCAGGTGTTGGCTCTTCAATCAACATATAGTATATGAATAAAGAGAATTTTGTCTTTTTTTTTAATACCTTACTTCTTCCTCATTGGCATTATTGTTCTGCGGGTTACTTTTTTTGTTTGTTTGCTTCGTTCTGGGTTTTGTTATAGCACAACTTCTATACTCAAATGGACAAAAAATTAGTATAATTTATTTATTTTTTATTTATTTATTTTTTTGAGACAGAGTCTCACTTTGTTGCCCAGGCTAGAGTGAGTGCCCTGGCATCAGCCTAACTCATAGCAACCTCAAACTCTTGGGCTCAAGCGATACTACTGCCTCAGCCTCCCAAGTAGCTGGGACTACAGGCATTTGCCATCATGCCCAGATAATTTTTTCTATATATATTAGTTGGCCAATTAATTTCTTTCTATTTATAGTAGAGACCGGGTCTTGCCCTTGCTCAGGCTGGTTTTGAACTTGAGTGATCCGCCCGCCTCGGCTTCCCAGAGTGCTGGGATTACAGGCGTGAGCCACTGTGCCTGGCCAGTATAATTTATAATATCTTAATATAAGTTGCCTTTAAATGGGAGCTTCCTTACCAGTGCTTTGAGGTCTACAAGATGTATCTAGAAAACTTAACTACTGTGCAAAATAGAAAACTTACCACTGCTTAAATCAAATGGGAGGAAGGACAAGGGCCTGTGGTTTTTCTTTTTGTTTAATTGCTGTAACACTCTCCTTTAGGCACCCAAGCTCTTGCAGGACAACTTGGATGCTGTATAAATTCTGCCATTTTGCTAGCACTGATAAGGCTCTTGGGTCAACCAGTCCATTAGAACTATTAATATTAGGCCGAATTATATAGAAAAAATTAGCCAGGCATGGTGGTGCATGCCTGTAATCCCAGCTACTCGGGATGCTGAGGCAGGAGGATTGCTTGAGCCCAGGAGTTTGAGGTTGCTGTGAGCTAGGCTGACACCACGGCACTCACTCTAGCCTGGGCAACAAAGCGAACTCGAGGTCAGGAATTCGAAACCAGCCTGAACAAGAGCGAGACCCTGTCTCTACTAAAAACAGAAAGAAGTAATTGGCCAACTAAAAATATATCGAAAAATTAGCCGAGTATGGTGGCGAATGCCTGTAGTCCCAGCCACTCGGGAGGTTGAGGCGGGAGGATTGCTTGAGCCCAGGAGTTTGAGGTTGCTGTGAGCTAGGCTGAACGCCACGGCACTCACTCTAGCCTGGGCAACAAAGTGAGGACTCTTTCTCAAAAAAAAAAAAAAAAATGTATAGGCCTCGATTGGCCCATTAAAACCAGAGCCCAAGGTTAAATTTTTTCACCCAAAAAACTGTGACACACAGGGGTGGAAAGGCTTACCCTTTTAGAAACCTAATCCCAATACCCTTATTACACTTAAAACAAATTAATAATAATCCCTTACTATCATCAAATTTCCAATTAGTGTTCAAATTTTCCTTTTTGTATGACATTTTGTGTACTGTTCTGAGTCAGGATCCAAAGAGGCTCCACAAACATTGGATTAATATAACTGATATGTTATTTAAGTCTCTTTTAATGATTAAAGTATTGAAACTGTCTATAGGTT